TTTAACTAATTTGTTAATCTGTTAATTACTTTGTTAATCTTTTCCTACTTAATATACTAATATAAAATAATAGAATACCAATATAAATAAATAGAGTAACAATATAAAATAATAGAATAACAATATAAAATAATAAAGTAATAATATAAAATAATAAAGTAATAATATAAAATACTGTAATATAATAAAAATATAAGATAATAATATAACAATAATAATAATAATAATGGGGTTCGGGTCCTATAGCTTAATGGATAAGCTCCTGTTCCTCTACAAACAAGGTCGACAGTTCGAGTTTGGCTAGAGATAGAATACTCTGTAATCTAAAAAGGAGCCTATAATCATATACGAAGCCCTGTGAAAGTCCAAGTGAAGGTATACGTTTGGTTTAAAGAATTCCCAGAAGAAAACTGGTATAGCAGAGTACAGGCACTACTATAGTGAGAAATGTGAAGAATGTTGCTGATGTTTGTGGAAAGGATTAGTCTTACCTAATATGGAATCACCTTTGACACAATAAAATCTGGATAAGGTGTGGCTGTGAAAACAACCTCCTTTGGTAGAATTTACCTCATGAGTAAAGTAGCCTAAAGGTTGGACCAAGTACTTAAATTAAAGATCACGTGAACAGAATAATATTGAAAATCAGAGAGTTTAAATAAGGAACTCACAAGCAGGTCTTAGGTATAGCAATGAGTGGGAAACCTACAGGTAGAACCCTTAAATAGACAATGACTAAAGTTGTACGTGTGGCTTATTGTATTCTCGTTGATATGTTACTGTAAACCTTTCTGTAAAAATACAGACTGCAGATACTTTAATAATAAAAGAAAACCTCCTGACCAATGAGGTCATTCTATAAACCGTAAAAAAAAAAAAAAAAAAAAAATAATAATAATAAAACTACTAATAAAACTAATGCTAAAGCATATTTTATAACACTATAAATCTCATTATAAAGAATTATAAAAAACTGCAATTTTCTTTAAAACAAATTACTATTTATTAAAATTGCAAAAAAAAGATCAAAAAAGATTAGCCTTTCAAAACTTAAAAAAAAGATAATGATCTCAACTATTTAAGAATTCCAAGTTTTTGAAACATATAAATTTGTTAAAACGTTAATAAAAAATAGTATATTTTCTTCTTTATAATAATATAATGTTTGTTCTTATTGCAGAATCATAGAAAAGACTACTCTAGCAATTTTTCTGAATGCATTCTATATAATAGATTTGAAATCATTGCATTTTAATTCTAATACTCTGAACCATATGCTTATAAACAGATATTTCATTTGCATTTATATTTACTATAAATCGCTATATACAAGATGCACTATGTAGTATACCCAGATGTGAATTACAGGATCTATATTAATCAAATCTGAGTTTTTTCAAATATTTAGACCTGCCTATTATAAATACAAAGCATACTTTTCAAAGTTTTCTCTTAATGATAAGAAATCTTAGCTGTAGATTAGATCTGAAATCTATTATAGATTTTAAACTTGATGAAATATAAGAGACCTGAGGTTTTTGTATTTAGCAATTAAAGGTAATAGTATTTGTAATTAAGTAAATATTATCAAATAAAGTTATTTATTTTTCAAATATAATATGAAACTTTAATAGCCAATCAAATTTAGTTTTACTCTAATGATTCTAGAAAATTTCCGTATAGCTGTACAATGCAGATCATTGCTATATTCGGAGAACGTTTAAAGCGTTGTGCATTATATGTTTTTGACCATTTAGTTAAAGTTAGGGTAAGGGTTAGTTCGGGTTAAGGTTAGGGCATGTTTTATAGGTAAAATCACCTTCCCGACATTTTTTATTAGTGCATTAATATAGGTTTAGGCATTAGTTTTCTTGTTTTTTCTTCGTCGGGCTGATCCGTGTCGATCAAAACAAACAATTTGATTGGCCTTATATCACGTGATTGCACAACGCTTTAAACGACCCCCGACTGTAATTTACGCATATAGCATATTGGCATATTGAAGCTAATTTCGCATAATTAATAGAGCATAATCTGCACATAAAATTGTAAAATTAGAGCAGAAGAGTTCAGAAAAGTACTGTAGATAATAAATTAACATAAGCACGTAAAAATTTAGAAGTAATTTTTGATAAGTGGTCGCAACTAGAGGTGTAAATATAATACCATAGTTTGTTGTAACTATAATGAGTTACAAGTATTCTTTGGCATAACATATTCACACCTTTAGTCGTATCTATAGTTTGGAACTGGTGTTATTTTTAATATGTTAAAATCGGGTTTAATTGGATTTAAGAATAATTTTACTTGATTTGCATAATTTGCAGCATAATTCTAAAACATTTATCGTATAATTCACATAATCTGATTTGTAAAGCAGGCAGAATTTGGGTCTGTTGCAGCAGAAAATGAGGATCCCTAAACACGATCAGGAAAATTCAATACAAACGTTCGTTTCGTCAAAAATCGAAAAATTGTATAGTAAACCATTAACAAAAAGTTTTCCTTGAGCGATTTTACTATTAAAATTTCTTTGACCCTAACCCTAACCTAAACGAACTTTAAAGAATTTTTCGGTGCGTTATACATGATCACGTGCTGGTGAAAATTTTGGTGGCGATCTAGGGGAATATATAGAACGCGTAGCTAGAGATGTTAAATTGGTACCTCGATCTGACTTTAGCATCCCTACGCGTAGCTATAAAATATTTTTTTACGTCCAAATATTTTTTTGTAAAAAATAACATTTGACTCAATAATGACCCCGCAAGAACGTGATTTTTTTATTAATAACGACAATCCTACACCAGTAAAGTTTTTTAAAAGGTTCAATTACACGTCGAAGCAAGCAGCTGTTTCGAAATGGTGCTCAGTTCTTGGCACGCTCCTCAGAGTTCATCAAGACAATTCCAAACTTGTTAATATCTACCAAAATTACAAAAAGAATAGATATAAGCAAGCTATTGATATTTATTTTAAATCTTTGTCTGCTACTGTTCTTGACGATGAAAAGGTTGGATAAAATAAGGTCAATTGTATTGTATCTGAGCTTTGTATGCTCTACAATTCTTTCACACTTTACCAGGACTCTATTGATAGAGCGCTAACCGAGAAAACAGGAAAAGCGATTCGAAATCGCATCGATGATCTCCTTCCTAACGATCAAGTAAATTCTAAAAAACCTCGTTTGACGGAATCTGTTAATAGTTCTTCAAATTTAATTTCGACCGATTCAAAAATCAATCAAGTTGATGATATTACTGATTTGCCTAACGAAAAAGATGGTAACACATTAGTTTTGTATTTGTCATATTTTAAACACAGATTTAAATATGCATGTATAAAATAGATAAGTCTGAGCAATGCGATACACGTAATTTATTGACTAAGGTATTGTTATTTTGGGTACCAAAAAATAAGACAAATTTGATGTACTAATCATAAATGTTTAGAAACGATCTCAAGTTCTTTATTCTTGGGAAAATGTCATAAAAGAGACTGATATAAGAAATGACTCTAAAAAGGATGTGAGTACAGTATCAATGTGGTTGATATTTTGCCAGTATATTAACTAACTATACTCACGTGCTTTTCAGTGGATTATTGATAAATATAATCTCTCAACTGAATTCCGTAATTTTCAACTTTCAACAATCCGAGAAATTGAAGAGAACCCTTTTCTATCCTTTAAAACTGATCTTCATAAAATTCTGTGAGTATTATATGCTATCTGAAGCGACTATTTCACATTATATTCGTTAATACGTATATGATCAAATAGTTGTCTGTCCAACATAATGCTTATAGAGCAAACAAAGCCGTCGTATCTCACCTGTTCTAAAACGGTTTGGAGCCAAATATGCCAAAGACAAGTGCCCCCAAATTTGCCAGATGTGATCCAAAATATGATTTTAAAATATTCTAAAGTATATCTATTTTCAGATTTGGTTATAACACAGTTTTGTAAGTTAATCATAAGCTTCCCTTTCCAAATCCTAGCTATTGAGTGCATTCACACCACTAGTTGATATTCAGAAGATTTGGTGTAGAAATTTTTCAAAAGTTAACGAGTTGAGCAACCAAGATGAAGTAGAAAAATTTTGTGGAAATCAAATTATTTTACGTAATTTGTAGGTAATTAAAGCTACCATAATCAATGCAATACTGAATTAAATGAATATCATCTTTTACAGTTTATTACTGAACCTCAAGACCAATAATGACAACGAAGACACATTCATTCATGACATGTTACACGATTTGCTAAAAGAAATCTTCCGCGATTCAATTTTTGAGTTGGTCTGGTAAGGGCTTAAGTCTGATCTTGCTGTATAGTTAATTACCGTATTGTCGCGAAATAACGCGCAGGGGTGAAATTACAAATTTTGGCCTAAATTAAGCTTAATTCGGGCCATTATTCTAAATAACGCCCCTGCGCGTTATTTCGCGACAATACGGTAAATCATATAATCCAGTGCCTGGTTTAAATCACTTCATTGAAAAGTCAACGCTGTAATAATAAAGAAAATTCGCGAGGTAAAAAACCGGATTTTAAGCTCTTACTGAATACAAATGATGAGATTCTCTTCGGCGAAGTCAAATCACCAAAATATAAAAATTCATCTTCATTGGTTTGTCAAGATCTCGTCAAGCTTGCAAATTTTCAATCCGGTACTTTGGACGAGTTAGTTAAAAAGTATGGGAATAGGATTGGAATGGCATCCTTCGGAGTGTGGATTTGTGGTAAGGGCCCAGACTTGGTTTGACTTTTAGAATTCTTATACATTTGCTAATTGCGTTTATAGGAATGCAAATCCGAATTTATCAAATGGACTTAGAATGTGATGGGTTGTACAGGATGTATCTGGTCGCAGATGTAGTTCTACCCACTCATAAATCCCAATTCATAAGTCTAATGTCGATATTGGAGGCATTGTACAACGTAAAAGTAAGTGATCATTGACAAGATTTCAAAAATAACTGTTTATTATCTCGATGCAGATGTAGCTCACTATCTATGTAATTTGAAGGATTCTGTTTCTAAAGTTTTGGAGGTAATTACCTCAGACACTACACCTATTTCATCTCGTTCCGATTATTGCAGATTACCCCCTCCCTCACCGAAACCTATCCAAGTTACGGTTGTGACTTCTAACGAGAAATAGCTTAGAATCATTTTCAATGTAAACTATCTGACATATTTGGAAATTCTTGGTATAAAAGCAGTGTCATACTGCCGGACCCGTATAAATACGTATTTTTGGGATTTCGAGGTCCTTATTGGTGTCACGGAACATAATCTCGATGAGTTTTACTAAAGCTAACGTTATTAATTGTTTTCTGACACTATGTCTTGTATAAGTGTAATTGTGTTGGTATAGATACGTGAATTTTGTCATTGAAAAACAGTACCGATAACTTTGAAGCTATCATTGATAAATATTACACAAAATTTTCTACTAATTGATTTTCATATAGGACTACATATAGATTTGATCTAGGATGCCCCAACTATACGTGAATGAAAATTCATGGCCTGCACGTGATTTTTCGAAAAGTACAGCTTTTGTCGGGTATTGTAGTTTATTTCACCTAAAAGTAATTTCAGTTAGGATCAGTTTAGAATTAGAGTCTAGGTTAGTGCAATTTTTAAAAAACATTGTCGATGAAATACTTCTCGGTGAATTGATTGTCGGTGAAATGACATGGGTCCAATTATGTAAAATGGATTTTCAGTATTACGACTTCGGTGAAATGGTATTTCAGAAAAATGGACTTCGGGAAGTTAACCCGGAACCTTTTTTTATACATGATTAGAGGTTAACAACTATAAACATGAAGATAAATGAAGATAAATCTAGACAATACAAAATTTGTTACCAAAAGGGTCGCTTAAGTCGGAAGTCTTAAATTTTACGTACGTACGTACGTATGTACGTAGCAGTATTGTTGTACTACTATTCTGCATTGCTACGTATATATTTAAAGTTGGTATATATTGATATCAGTTTTATGTATTTGACATCAGGATTTTACAATTTGAAAAATATATTATGTCATGTGATTAATTTACTAGTGTTTAGCACTTTAAATTACAGAGCTATACTAATTCAGAACCTAATACCTGATAAATAAGGCACCAGCCCTATGAAAGGTCGTCGTTTTACGTGGATTCTGATCTTCAAATTTATTTAGTATCTGGTATCATAAAATATATGTATTTTTAAAGTATAATCATTATACTAATTCTGCTAAAAATATACAGTTATATTATAGAATTCAATGTCTGACGTTACTAAAATTATCGCGATATTACGAAAATTATGTGAAAATCAATTTGCCACAAATATGCAAATTACATGTCCGTCCGTCAGTTATTTGTCAGATTTGAGTATATACTACGTATTTATTACCGCTTCGTGGGGAATAATGAAATATGTTCCGGAATTTTTCGGTCCCACTAGGAGCCGAAGGGGGAAATATCTTTTTACTATTTACCAGATAAATTATCATTTAATTAACACACAAGTCCACATGGACATAACTTGCTAATTCTGGTATGTATTGATTAACAAATGATCGAAGATGTCCAAACAACCAATTTTGACGTAATTAATGTATACAGTACATTAAGGTTGTTTAACAAAATATATAAAGTCTGAATACACGGGGTAAAAAACACGCTCGGTACCTGTAAAACACGTATATTTCCCATTCCTGTTCATATTTCCTTCGTTAAAAAAAAAACACTAATAGCATTCTTTAAAATATCTTCATATTGTTCTTAACGTCTTTCTTAGTTGATCGTAAAGGTCACGAACTTTATAGAATTCTCGTTCATGAAAGGTAATTATACGATAATTTAGGAGTTACAACATAAAAATTTAAATTCTTTAAAGATAAATAGGAATGGAGGGTGACATACTTGATCAACAAATTCAAGTCCATCCTCAAGACACGATTCTAGCAAATGAAACACCTACTCAACAATTGGACGAAACTGCGCAAATATCAAGTTCTACGATCGCCACTGAAGTCGCTACCGAAGCATTAAGCTCTACCGTTGAGAACGATAGTTTTAAGACACCTAATAAATGTGGACAAAAAAATAATGACAAATCAGTATTGAATGGAGTAGACGTTCGAAACTATTTGCAATACACTGCTGCAATGATTATGGGTGTTCCATTAAAAGACTTAGAAGATCATTCTTTGTCCTTGTTTGAAGCTGGAATGAATGAGTCAGAAAGCTTGATATTCATGAAAAAAATTGACAACATTCTTCCAGCTGGCGTTGAAATAACCACGTCATTCATCTCTGAACATCCAAATATAGACTCGATCGTAAAGTTCATCATGGACATAGTAGATGGAAATAAACATCCCGAAAATGATAAAGAGATTCAAATAGAGCAGCTACAGCATTCTTTGGAAGACATTGTAGATAAATACACTCTTTACATTCGAGATAGTTATACCCAATCCGAAATAGTTGCTTCCCAAAAAATCACTAAAAAAGTTTTTCTTTTGACTGCAACTGGATTTCTTGGTACGCATATTTTATATACGCTGTTGACTTCAACGTCATGCAAAATTTATTGCTTTGTCAAAAAAAAAAAGATTAGAACACCTAAACAATCTCTTAAACGTGCATTCTTACGTAACAATCTGGACACCTCTTTGGTTGACTCTGACAGATTGATCGCCCTCGGTGCTAATTTATCTGAACCTTATCTGGGTTTATCAGAGAACCAATATGAAATCATATTAAACGACATCACTACAATAATACATGGCGCTTTTGGCGCAAAACCTGGTATGCCTTTAACCGCTTATGAAAATTCGGCTATTCTTGGAACTGCGAATTTATTACTTTTTAGTGCTCAAAAGGAATTTCATTTCATATCAAGTATTGATGCCTGTATTAACAGTTCCTGGGAAAATGTGCCTGAAGGCATATTGCCTTTGAAAGCTTCTATCACTACCTGTGATGGGTTTGGACTTTTGAAGCTAGCCATTGAAACAATCATTACAAACACATTTGATTATTTACAGTTGGAACAGGTTAGTATCATCAGAATAGGTCAGATTACCTCTCACACAGAAACTGGTGTATGGGATCCGAATGAATGGGTTCCAATGCTTTTAGGAATTGCTGGTTTATCTGGTCGAATGCCGACATTTGACGCAAATCTGGATTGGATTCCTGTAGATGTTGCCGCAAAAGCAATTATAGATTTAGTATCATCTGATGCAATATTCAGAATACAAGTGTTTCATATAGGTAACCCAAATCCAACAATAACGTGGGTTCAATATTTGGATAAGCTTGAAGAATCTGGAATGAAATTTTCTAGGCAAGAATTACCGAAATGGTTGGAGAAATTATGGATTGATGTTGAAGAAAATTCTTTTGATGAAAATGTTTGTTCATTATTAACTGGACATTTTAATAGAATGGCCTTCAATCCTGATAACGACAAAAAAAATCGTGCCTTACTAGATCTAACAAACACAAAATCACTGACTAGTGTATTGTCGACATGTCCAAGTTTAAATAATGATTCTCTAATTAAATCTAATATTGATTGGTTAAAAGATACTGGCCATTTATCAGAAATTGGTTTAGATCAACAAAAATCATTATCGAAATCAAGACTTAAGTTAAAAGAGAATGGTGACCCTGGATTTTGGGATTGGATTTATGTTACCATACCTTTGATGGTCCTATTTTTTATTATTGATCTTTTATGGAACATCTTCTCGAGGAGTTTTATGGAAGTTACTGTTGTGGCAGGCTGGATTGTTACTGTCATGTTTGTTAATGATAACGCTGATAATCAAAGATTATTAAGGGATTCACCATTGGATACGAGAGTGGATATAAAAAGACATGAAAATAATGGTAGGAAGAAAAAAAGGATTAATAGAAGAAGGATTAAAAGAAATGATTAATAATATTCAAGTTTACTATAAGTGATAATTTCATGGGAGGGCGTATCAAAAAGGATGTTTTATATGAAGCACGGTAACGATTATTCATAATGACTCTAATTTTTTCAAATACTTTTTAGTATTATTTTTGTAATATATTTTTATTTATTAATTTTTTTGTTTTCGTAATTGGAAAGGATTTTAACCGTTTTTTTTTGGTATGACGGTAATTGGGATGCACATATTAATATCCAATAAATATATGTTAATTTGATACAATTTATTTAGTATATATAATTGTATAATAAAAAGTAAATAAATTTAAATAAATTTAATACATGGGAAGGTACTAGAAAAACCCCAATTTTATAATTGAATAAACTTTTTTATTGCCATAGGTATCATTAATTGCCACGGCGGAGCCGTGGCAATTGATGATATCGAGGCTGACATTAAATATCCACGGAGACTAACGCTCATGAGTGCCGCCAAGGGAAAACCTGTAATCGGGCTTTCAATGTTCAGTTTGTTTTCTGTGTGCCGTCTAGGGAAAAT